ATTCTGTGAATAGCCAAAATAATGTGCAGAAGTGCTCTCACAGGTCTTGGACTAACTAGAGGTGGAATTCAGGTAAAAGTTGTCTAAACCCTCCATTATTTTCCTGTTAAGATGAAATATGATTTTGTTGGAACTTTTTCCGCTTTCATTTCTATAAATCCGTTTTTTCGCTATAAAGTTGATGATGGACTATATAAAATCAGTAATAGATTCAGTAAAATAATTAGAATATTTCTGCATCTTCATACATAAAGCTCAGTCATTCAGAATGGCCAAGGTCTTTGCTTTGGTTCAGCTATTTAGGCAATCGTAAAGGTAAAGTTTAACATTATTATTCTCAGTTAGGCACATTCCATCTCCATAAATATATCACATGTGCAGACAGAGTGACTCAGTGACTTTGGCAGGTTGGTTGCAGCACCCCTGGTTTTAAGCAATCCTTTGTTTCTGTTGCAGTGAGGTGTTTGGACTCTTTTATGGGCTGTCTAATCTGTATTCCCAGTAATCCTTTAACTGCATCTTTTACCACAGAGTGCCAATGGTCAGGGACTTGCAGCCATTGTAAAAGGGAAGAAGAGAATTTCTTGATGTGCCTCGTCACAAGAGCAAAACATAATTAAACAGCTAAGAGACTAGAGAAGCATTTTTCTCTTTCACATACCACTTGCTGGTTCAGCCTAGGGTGGCAGTGACTGTTAGTATTCAGATTGCTGTTTAGGTGACATACTTAATATGGCTTTAACAGCCTGCTTAATAGTGAAGGAGGTTCAAAATTGCTAAAAACCAGCACTCTTGCTTGCATTAACTGTTTGCACAGTTGCCTGTTGTCAGGAGAAGTTCTTCACTTTGAATATGAATCTGTTCTTCCAAAGTCCAAGAGCCAGATTAAGTTTTCTGGATTAGGTGGAAGCTCATGCCGCTGTGGGAACTGCTGTTTTGTGGATAAATTGGTGTATTTTTGAAGTGTTGTTTTTTTTTTTGGTTTGTTGTTTTGGGTTTTTTTTAACCAGTAGTAATAACAGTAAAAACTGATAAGTGTAAAAAGAAAATTTTGTCTATGTAGTATCCCAGACAGGCTGCAAAAAAAAAGCTGACGAGAAGGGGTGGGTGTTTATAACTGTTTCCATTTGTGAAAACACCCCAAAAAATCCCACGACAGACAGAAAAACTTAAGAACTCTGCAAGGAGGGGCAGAGGGAGCAGGAAGGGACTGGTGCTGGTGACTCTGCTCATCCCCCCACCGCATCCATCCTTCCTGCCCCAGCCCCTTACCAACAGGATCAAGGCTCTGGCAGCACGTTATCAGGTGGTAGCAAATGATTTCCCTTCGTTGTACTAATTGCCACCTTCAATTACCCTGTTAAAAATTATGATATGGCTGCTGTTAAAGTAAACTTGATTTTCACTCCGTTATCCCCGTGGACGTAACGTGTTTCTGTGGAGAATTAAAGGCCAGCGAGCTGCCGTAGTGACCTCTGAAGCATTTCGGCATTAGCAGCAGGTCCAGGGTTAAGTCCCTCTTTTAGGGGCTTATAACTTCTCTGTAAATATTAATTTCAGATGAGTCCTGGCACCTCCACTCTTGGCGTGATGGTGCGTTGCTTTGCCAATTTACCACACAATTGGCAGGGCTGATAGTAATGCACAATTAGGAGGTTTTTGACCAGCGAGTAACGCCGCGGTGCTGTCTGTAGGAGGAAGACATCCAAGAAGTCATTCACCCATCGCCTGTCGTTAAACGGGAGTTGTTCAGCCTGGAGAAGAGAAGGCTCCAGGGAAACCTTTCTGCAGCCTTTTGATACTTAAAGAGGGATTATAAGAAACATGGGGACGGAGTTTTTAGTAGGGCCTGTAGCTATAGGACAAGGGGTAATGGCTTTAAACTGAAAGAGGGGAGATTAAGACTAGGTACAAGGAAGAAATTTTTTATGATGAGGATGGTGAGGCCCTGGCACAGGCTGCCCAGAGAAGCTGTGGCTGCCCCCTCCCTGGCAGGGTTCAAGGCCAGGTTGGACGGGGCTTTGGGCACCCTGGGCTGGTGGAAGGTGGCCCTGCCCAGGGCGGGGGGGGGACTGGGTGGTCTGTAAGGTCCTTTCCAACTCAACCCATTCGATGGGTCTGTGAAACCCTCCCAACTACCTCTGTGTCCCCTGGGTGCCATGGAGGCAGCAGCTGGAGGTGGGAATGGGTCCTCAGGGCTGTGGAGACTTAGAAACCCAGGTCAGTCCCAGGTCTCTCCTTTCCCCATCCTTCAGTCCACCATCACCCCCACCTTCCCGGTGCAGCTCCAGCTCCCAGTGGGCACTGGTGAGGTGTGCGATTGGATCGAAAATCTGACAAATTTTTGGTCATTTAAATGCAAAACGGAATCTGGCAGCACTGGTTGCTCTGTGTTGGCCCTAACTCACAGTCCTTGGCAAGAGGGGAGTCCAGAGCCTGGTCGCCTGGAGGGACTGGGCTCAGTCTAGAGGTGTAGGGGTGCAGAGGAAGGAGAAAACCTCCGACACTCCCATCCCCACGATGGGGTTCAGTTCATCCATCGCTCTGCTGGCACCCGCCGCTCCGGGGTGACGTGGGCACCCTCGGCTCGCGGAGGTGCAGAGTGTTTTCATGTAACGAGAGAATTTGTGTGTGTTAATTTTTATGTGCGTATTTTACAGCACTTTATAATGATATTTAACAGCATAAAATGTTGGCACACGCTGGAAATTGGTGAAAGTTCAGCCATCTAATTTGGGCAGGTTATGCTTACAGGCACTCACACTTGCAGACAGTTTAATAACAGTATTTGGCACTGTCTCTTAGAGCTGCTTAAACTAATTAATGCATTTGCTCCCTACAGGATGAAATTGAGTTTTCAGATACATTTATAAAATGATGTGCATGATTGCTAAATATTTCATTCTTTTGAACTATAACTTCGAGTGTTTTATGTGGGTGCAGAGACAGTATATATTTTCTCATGAAAAATGTACAGTGGCTCTGGAAGGAGGATAATCTCTGCCCCTGCTTGTCAGAAGAGGATAATCTCTGTCCCTCTGTTCGCGTGTTAAAAGGCACTTGATGATTTGGGTATCGCTTGGCACGGTGGTGCTGCTGCGGGGGGGGGGGCTCTGGAGCTGCCCCATCCTCCGCAGCCGCTCGGTGCTCCAGCACCCGCTTCTCCCCTTATTCCTACGGGTTTCCACAAGTTACAGGTCCATCACGTCCCAGCCTGCTGCCTCCCCTGCCAAAAACGAGGACAAAAAAAGGGATTTTTTTGGACGCAGGCCCTGGCGACGTGCAGTCACTGTGTTTCATTGATTTAAAAGATGACATCAGGCAATAATTCCCCGAGACCCCTAAGCAGGCAAGGTTAACGCTAATCTTGCCGGCTTAAAAAGAAGTTTAAAAAAATAATAAGTAACAATTTGTTTTGAAATAAACCTTTCTGAAGAAATCACAGTAAACAAAATCTGTTTGCCTAAGGAAACCCTCCTAGCAATCAGCTAGTAACACAACTGCTTGTGCTAATGAACCCAAAGCTGTTAATGTGGTTTCTTCAGTTAAATTGATTCATGAATTTTGAAGAGAACATTATCTAATGAATTTTCTTTGAATAGAAAGCAATTAAAAGGACAAATCAGTCTGATTAACCCCAAAGTCACCCTACTGCCACAAATGGTGTACAGTTTGAAATTATATCATAAAAAACTAGAGCAGATTTGCTATCTCTCTGCCCTCTGCTAATCCATGTAAATTAATGAACAACAAAGTTAATTTCTTTGATGACCCTTTTCTCGTATCACCTGGATTATGCTGATGTTTAATTTGCTTAATGTTATAATAAAGACTAAACAGATTTTTTTCAATGAAGTGATTATCGTTCCCTTCAGTTAAGAAGTGATTTTTATTATTTAACACACACATAACGGTGTATGGGTTTCCTTTAAGAACAAAATCACATTTTGCCGTGTTCCTATGTATCGTAATCAATGTCTTTTTTGACAACTAAAGACAGAAAACGTTTTCCATCAGTTTGTTTCTTTGCCAAAGCAGGAGATTGAAGCTCTCAGCTGGGGCAAGTGGTCTCTTTTCCTTTTTCTTTTTTATTTCCTTTTTTCTCTTTCTTTTTTTTTTTTTTATTCACCAGCTCACTCCTCTCAGTAAGTTATTCACTAGTTAGACTTCAAAGCTTTCACAAGTGCCTTGGAAGAGCGATAGGTGTTCAACCCAACTAAACTCCAGACGCGACTATCGGTTTCCCTTTTGTGAAATAATCCTGGGTGGGGAAGGTAAAACCCCGAGATGCAGAAGAAATCTGATCCTAATGCATTTGCTTATTCATTATTTCAGTAGTTGGAACACTTAGAAGCAATTTGCTGGTGAATTAAAATTAAAATAATGGAATATACTTCTTTTTTTTTTTTTCCCGAGCCCTGTATCATTAAGGATGTGCCGTACATTCAAGGTCACAGCTAGTCCTTACATTCTGTAATGTCTGCAGTGCTGAGCAGTAGCTTGGGGGTCTCGACTATAAAATGCAGTCAGCCAGGATAATACCGAGTCCGCTGGCTCTAGGGCTTCTTCTGCCGCGTGTCCCAGCTGAAGTTGGAAATTAGCTGGAGATGCAAGGGCTTTGTAAAATAGGTAGAGCTGGTTATTTCTTCCCTTTTTAATTTGACTCTATGCTAATTTATACTCTGCCAATTTAATGGAAAAACCACATTGTATGAGTTAACAGGATAATTGTACTTGAAGCAAATTAAAAATATAGGAAAATCAAAGCCTTAAATCCTTTTTTATAGTGATCGGTTACTTGAAGCGCTCCTTCTAATAATCATGTATTTAAATGTAGTAATATAGGATACAATAACAGGACAGTGCATCGGGGCTGTTTAAATTTAAATTAGAAAGCTGCTATCGAGACTCCGCTTCGCGTTGGGTTTTTTGAGCGCTTTGACTCGGTGTTTTTCCAGCCACGCAGGCAAACAGCGCTCGCTTCTTCGTCTTCGTTGCAGATTCCTTCACCAGACAAGTGCTGTGGACCCTGTGGAGGGACGTGAAGTTTGGGGAGGCCGTTTCCTACAAGCAGCTAGCAGACCTCGCAGGCAACAGCAGAGCGGCGAGAGCGGTGGGAGGAGCGATGAGGAGCAACCCTGTAAGTTCACGTCAACTTTGAAATAAAGTTGATGGAAGATGGTGGATTTAGAGAGCTTTACAGGCTAAATGTCATTAGATTAAATTTATCTGCTATGAAAACTAGTCTACCATGAGTAATAAGGTCAGTAAGTGTTTTTAATCAGCAATAATGCACAACCCAGTTTAATGTGATTTATTCCCTACCACTTATGACATTAGATTTGAAAGAGAAACACTTTTAATTCATCAGCCTCTACACACGTTTTGTTGTTCTCAAACTTCCTTACACATTCGGAGGTGAGGGAAGTCTTTTATCCCCCAGCGCAGACCTCATTTCCAAGGGGACGAGTAGCTTGGTTGTGTTACAGCAGTCCATCCTCTCTAGCACGGATATGTTTCTGAAACTGTGGAAGAGGAGGGATTTTAAATCACGTAGGTACACGTTTGAATCAAATCCCTAATTGTCAATATGGTTTTTATCCGCACCAGCTGTAAATGGCATTTCTCCATTAGATAGAGGTGAGTGGCCTGAACCAACGGGAGGGGGTAGCGCTCTAGGTTAGCCCGTGGATTTTGGAAAAGCAGTATATTACGATACTGCGTCTCTCTCTGTCTTCCCAGAAATTATCTTTTCCTTTTAGTTGTCCAGGTTGGGATTTCCAGTGTAAGTTCACCTGAATCCCACTGACTGGGGGG